GTTTCCCTTGTAATCATTCAAAAGGATTTTTAGTGAAGTTGTTTAAAATTCCTCCGAGGGAGGTCGAGGTTTTTTAATCCCTTTGAGCCAAGGGATTTTTCCTCGTTAAATCCTTGTGCACTTTACTTTTCGCAATTCCCTTTACCCCGCACTAGAACTGGGCGAAAAACTGCCACGGTTCCACACACACACAATTCACCCCCCCCCCCTCTTGTGTTGCTAACCGTTTTCATCACTACCCACCACCCGATCTAGGCCCAATATTAATCGGATTTTTGGTTTCGGGTTTTTCGGGTCAATATCCACTTCGGTTCGGATAATATCCGAAAAAAATATCGGGTTTTTCGGGTCAGATCGGGTTTTGCTCAGCCCTATTTGTTCCTTATGGACCGTGTGGTGGTTGTGAGTCATATTTCTTTGTTATTCCAATCTTGTGGTAGGAAACGTGATCTGGAAAAGATCTATTAGCCTTACAGTGGTATCAGAGTTTGGTCCCTCGTCTATTCTGACACGATCCACTGCAACCCTCTGAACCGCAGCAAGTCAGCAACTCGCCTCTGTCAGCATCGGTTCATCATCTCCTCGTTGTTGGTAATTCGGATAAATCCCCTGGATTTCGCTCCAGTAAATTTGCTTGAAACATCCTAGGTGCACCAGGTGGCTCTAGATTTAAATTTTATCCCCCTTCCCCTGCTGCATGCATAGCCAAACTGTGCGGTTTAACTGTCAGCTTTGTCTGACCTCCTTAGGTACGTTGGCTTGACTTTTTCAAGTTTTGTGGTGAATTGTTGTGTTTCATGTTCAAATCTGTGTATTGCATGTGAGTTTCTGGCCTATGTGCTTAGATTTGTCTTTTGCATGTTTAGATCTGTTTCTGGCCTAGGGTTTATCTTAGTGTTCTCTTCTTTTATGGTGTTGTCTATTTCTTGTTCTGTCTATGTTTGAGCTTCCTGATTCTTGTCTGTCTCCTGGTAATCTGAGGAGTTACTCCCTGGTTGGCTAAGACACTTGGTGATGTTTTGTTCAATATAGAGTCGAGCCTATCATTCACTTATAAATTGTATGAATAAATTATATATATCTTAAACTTTAAACCTTTTGTGATATTTTATAAATTTATTAATGACTATTAAAGATTCAAGTATTTATTGACTAATTCGAATATGAATCCATTAACGAGCATAGTCTAAATTGCTAAATTCGAGCAGGTTTATCGAATGTTCAAATCAAACGTCGAAAATCTATCGAGTCAAACTCGAACTCCATTTTGTACTAGGGAAATATTCATTTCATTATTTTGATGTATCATATTAATTAATGGTAATCTCATATGTATAATATATGACCATTAACATGTTAAACTATGGTATATGAAATTATTCTCTAGTCTTCAATTGTATATGAAATGATGAAGTACTAAAAATTACAAGGGACTAAAATTATTAACTATATTTTAAATTAATCTTTAAGACTTTCACTAAATTGACTTTTTGATTGTTTTTTTGAACTAGGCCGAATACTAATATTTTTTTAAACGTGTACCTATAATTAAAAAAGGGACTAGACTGGGCCGGAGCCCACCCTAGCCCTACTATGATCCACCATGAAGCGAAGAGACCAGACGGAGAAAAGAGGTGCACTGATTACTAATCGTGTTGGCCAGAGAGAGTTGTATATGAAGAAGACACGTACAAGTCGGGTTTTTATGGGATATATTTGTTTTTAGGGTTTTCCGTAGAATGCAAAATAATTGTTTGCATGCAAGGTTTTTAAAGCACGACATTTCCCCCAGTCTTCTTTTTTGGAAGCAAAGATAGGAAATAACCACTTGTTCATCTGGCGCAACATCCTTGAAGCCAAGAGTGTTATGTTGTTCGAGAATGGACACATAGAAGAGTTGGTAATGGAGAGGATATTTCTGTTTAGAATGATAGATGGCTCCCAGGAGAAGGAAATGTTATTCGAGAATGGACACAGAATAGCTGATATGAATGTAGCAGCTTTAATTAAAGAGAGCATGCATTCTGGCTTGAATCCGAAGAGGATTAGAGCTAATTTTAGTGATCGGGGCAGGTCGACTATTTTGGGTATTCCTCTTAGCCGTTGTGAGATAAAAAGGATGAGTATTGGTGGACCGGGGACTTCTGGGGACAATATACAGTTAAATCAAGAATAAAGAAGCATATTGGATAGGTTGAGGAGGCTACTTGGGTAGGTTGGACTAAATGCGGGGCTTATTTATGCCACAAAAAACTGAACACTTTTTTTGGTAGGTAATGGAAAATGTTTTGCCGACGGCGGATAAGTTGAGGAAACGGGGGTCAAAATACCGGGAGGCTGCAAGTTATGCAATGAGAAAGACAAAATAGTGGTCCATCTATTTAAACAATGTCGGGTAGTCACTGAAGTGTGGGGAAATGTTGGGATTAATTTTCGGTGTCTTGCGGCTTCGTGGGAAGAGTGAATGGAGAAACTGTTTAAATCCATGGCTGAAGAGAACTCATGGGGTATTTGGAAGTAGCGCAATAAGGTGGTATGGAATAACAATTATTTTAATGCTTTACAAGTGATTAAATGTGGGAGCTAATGCTCTAGTAGCATGGCTGGCAGCCCAAAGCACCACGATGGTGAGCAACATAGCCGTGGAGAAGGAGACCTAATATGGGTTAAACTTATTGCAGGAACAATCAAGATTAATGTTGATGGGGTTACAAATGACCGACAGGGAAGAAGAGCCTGCCTGGGGTTGGGTTGCTAGGGACCACAATGGTGAATTTATTAGAGGAGGTTGAGAAACTAACATAACAGATTGTTCAGCAAGAATCACGGAGGCACTCGGAATTCGAGCGGTGATCACATGGTCGGGCAAAGACTCAAGGATGGAGCTGAATTGATATAGAAACAGATGCCTAGTTGATCACGACAAGATTAGAGGAAGACTCAGGGGTTTCTTATTTTTGTATTATCATTTTTGTAAACGATCCATGAACCGTGTGGCCCATAAACTTACTAGGGAAGCAATGTTCAATGCTGGTAATGGTTATCTCAATGTAGTCTAGTTGTATCTTGAGCCAGCTGACTAAGGATTGTTTGAATAAACATGATTGATCGTTTCCCTTTCCAAAAAAATGATATCACATTTTCTGAATGTTTTTTATTTGATCTGAATTTCTAATATGATCTTATCTGAATCTAATTGGAATTTTTCGATATAATTTGAATTTGATATGAACTTTTTGGGCTAAAGGGTCAAATAGGCCCCTGTACCTGTTCGGAATGCTCAATTCGCACCTCGACTCAAAAAAGCTCCAATTCACCCCTGAACTCGCCAAAAAAGTTCAAATCCCATTTTTTGCAGGTAAAATTCCGGTCATTGTCACGTCAGCCGGTTAGATGCCAACCGTGCATCTCACGTAGAAATCTAAGGGGTCAAATAAACCCCTGAACTCGACAAAGTTGTTCAATTTACCCTTCTGAGTCAAGAACGGGTGTTGGGACTCCAAGTTTTGGGGGGTTTAGTTGAAAGGAACGCCTTTTGCAGCGCCTATTGGGTGTGCGAGGCGTTTGGTCGGCGCTTCACGCTTACACCTGCCTACGCGGCGCCTTTTGAAGCGTTTTAGAACACTGGGTACAGGGGTCTATTTGACCCTTTTAACCTAATTTAAATAAAATACTACATCCGTCCCACTAAGATTGAGACAAGAGAAGATGACACGATTATTAAGAAAAGTGGGTTTGTGTGGTTCATATTAAATTGATAAAGTAAGAATAAAGTAAGAATGATTTAGAATCACACAAATTTTAACAAATTTGGTATGAGACAATTTTAGTGGACTTACCAAAAAGATAAAATGGGACAATCTTAGCTTAGAGCTGCGGTCCCGACTTTCCGTAACTATTTTAGGCAATATAAAAAATCATGAGTTTTTTCCCGGAATAATGCTGCATAAATAAATAATTCCCAAAATACTGCTGGGTTAAAAATAATTCCCAAAATACTGCTGGGTTAACTGTGGTTAAGGAAAGCCGCCACTTGAAATGGCGGCTTTTCTCTACACAGTACAAGAGCCGCCACTTGAAGTGGCGGCTTTTCTTAAAGCAACACACTTACGTAACATATATGCTCAAGTCTAACAACAAATGCAGTGGGACCCATCAAAATTAAAAATCCCCTGTTTTCTTTGAACTGCTGTAACTTTTTTATTTGTACTCTGATTATTACAAAAAATATATCAATATTCATAATTTTTTATTATCTTTCATATGACACCAATATTGAATATATAAAATAAAAAAATAATTTAAAACTAAAAATTACTATCTCCGGTCCTAAATAAACTTCTCGTACACTTTACGATGCTTGACTGACGATAAAACAACCCGATCCATGTTCACACCCGGTTTATTTTTAGTAAATAAAATTTACATTTTCAGAAACTACATTAAAACCGCTATTTTTAGCTTTTTATCAATTTTAAAATAGACTGGTTAAATCACTCTTAATCTTTATCAATTTTCAAAAACCAGTCTATTTTCAAAAACTAAAAGATTAAGAGTGATTTAACCAGTCTATTTTAAAATTGATAAAAAGCTAAAAATAGCGGTTTTAATGTAGTTTCTGAAAATGTAAATTTTTAGTTTTTATATTTTTAGTGTTAAATTATTTTTTTATTTTATATATTCAATATTGGTGTCAACTGAAAGATAATAAAAAATTATCAATATTGATATATTTTTTGTAACAATCAGAATACAAATAAAAAAGTTACAGCAGTTCAAAGAAAACAGGGGATTTTTAATTTTGGATGGGTCCCACTGCATTTGTTGTTAGACTTGAGCATATATGTTACGTAAGAGAAAAGCCGCCACTTTAAGTGGCGGCTCTTGTACTGTGTAGAGAAAAGCCGCCATTTCAAGTGGCGGCTTTCCTTAACCACAGTTAACCCAGCAGTATTTTGGGAATTATTTTTAACCCAGCAGTATTTTGGGAATTATTTATTTATGCAGCATTATTCCGGGAAAAAACTCAAAAATCATCTCTAAACAAGCTGGTTGTTGCTGAAACTGAAAGTAGTTACGCTGAGCTCTACGGATGAAGAATTTTTTATTACTGCTGAAAAATAAGTAACCACTTTCGGTAATTACTTTCACAAATAATTTGATTGGAATAAAATAAGAAGATTAGAACAGCCTAGATCTGAATATAAGTATTTTCCGCAGTTAGATCTGAATATAAGTATTTTCCGCAGTTCAACGGTGAGCTGAAAGTAGTTAGGATGAGCTCTATAGAGTTTTTTTTTTTGTTTTTTTTTTTAATGTCAAAACTGATTTGTTGCCCAAGTGAGCAGAGCATTTTGCTGGCAATGGTTGATATGCACCTAATTCAATCCTTTACGCGTGCGAGGAAGTACTCCATTCTCTTTTTCTCCATTTCTAGATTTTCAACCAAGCAGGCAAAAAGGAAGGGAGAAAGTGGTTAAGCAAAGAGGCTTTTGGAGGACATATAGTCCATAAAGTGCGGAAGAAGAATCAAATTTTGAATTTTGGGTAATTCTATAATTTGTGTGCATTGAAACCCTAACCCTCACTTTCCCACTTTCGTCTGTGCACACTTAATGTTAATCATTACTTGATTTTTTATATGTTATTGAGAGAATTAAAGTCTAAAGTATCTATGATTATCTGTGTCTTGAAATTATTGTGTAGTTGATGAGTGCTGCTGGGAATTAGTTCAAGTCTTTAACATTAACGGTGAGAAAGAAACAAAATATGGGTTCCTCTAACTTCACATTCTGTTCAATGATCTTCAGTGGAGCTATGCTCTACTTAGGTGTAGTGGCTGAACCCACTGAAGATAAACTTGCTCTTCTTGATTTCATTAATAACATGAGCCATTTGAGGCGACCGAATTGGGAGGATAGCCTCTCTGCTTGTTCTGGCTGGGTTGGTATCACCTGTAATCTGAACATGTCTAGAGTTATAGGTGTCAAACTTCCCGGATTCGGGCTCTATGGATCAATTCCTTCCAAAACCCTAACCCTTTTACCGGAGCTTCAGATCTTAGATTTGGGAAACAATAATATTTCTGGTCCTTTCCCTTCTGAGCTTTCCAAGACTCAGAGTTTGACGACTCTCAGTTTGCAACACAATCGCTTCGACGGTTCTCTGCCAGCTGATTTCTCAATGTGGGAAAACCTTTCCTTTCTGAATTTGTCTAATAACAAATTCAGTGGGTGTATACCTTCCACATTCTCAAACTTGACTCGTCTGACCACTTTGAATCTTGCAAACAACTCACTATCTGGTAATATTCCCGATCTCGATCTCCCCAGTTTGCACCTACTTGATCTATCGAACAATAATCTCACAGGAATTTTGCCTCATTCGCTTACTAGATTCAGTGCTTCATCTTTTTCTGGTAATAATCTATCTCCTGCCCCTATTGTTGTTTCTTCGAGTTCTTCACTGGAAAAGAAGCTTGAAAAAATTAGTCACTCTGTAGTGATGTGGATTATGATTGGAGGTTGTGCTATGGTATCTCTTGTAATTTCTGTCCTATGCATTCTTATCTGTTCAAAGAAAGAATATAAATACCTAACCTCACCAAACTCGCGCAGAAAGGGCAATTCTCACGAGAAGGAAAATTTTGACAATACGAATGGAAGTGGTAACATGATATTCTTTGAGGGTTGTATTGTTGCCTTTGACCTTGAAGATTTGTTGAGTGCTTCTGCAGAGATTCTAGGGAAGGGGACTTCTGGTGTTGTGTATAGGGCAGATCTGGAGGATGCGACCACTGTTGTGGTGAAAAGATTAAATGAAGTGAGTGTTGGGAGGAAAGAGTTTGAGCAACAAATGTTGGTTGTTGGAGGTATGAGGCACGAGAATGTGGCTCCTCTGAGGGCTTACTTCTACTCTAGGGATGAAAAGCTCATGGTTTATGATTACTACAGCCAAGGGAGCGTTTCTGCAATGATACATGGTATGCCAAATTCCTTGTTTTCTACTCCGTATCTTTTTAAGGGTACATTTTTATTCCTGAAAATGCTAAGTAATTTAATTGAGTTTAAACTAATGTTTCATTATCCCTATATTTTCTGTCCTTTGAAAATTTCCCTATATGTTGCCCCCTGTCTGTGATCCTTGCTCTTTCCCTCAGAGCCCAAATGACCATTATGTCCTTCCACGTAAATCCTTTAAATCAAGAAAGAAAGGAAGAAGTTTTAGCAAATCCTTTCTAAGCACTGTTAATTTTTACATGACAATTAACCCCATCAGGGAGTTAATTAAATTAGGGTGAAGGTCCTTATGTAAAAAGTCCTCACATAGTCCTGAGTAATTCCTGTCTACAAACTGGATTGCCATTTTCCATCTATGTATTTTGTTAAAAATTATAACAATGATTGGCCAGAATATTGTAAATACCAAGCAGACAGTTGAAAGTTAAATTCATTGTTTTACCTTTTACAATCATTTCATCACCAGCTACAATAGCTAGTTAGCTAAAGACACAAATTTTGAAACATCCCATCACTACTTGTTCTTGTTAATATCAGGCATAGAAGGATTTGGAGGGATAGTTTTTGGAGAACTTTATTTTGTTAAACAGAATCTTCTTATACTAAAATAGAATAAATAGGTGATTGAAATGTTACATCATCATAATATCATATATAATATCTTGTTTTTTCAACTTCTGTAAAACCTTAAATACTTCAAGATGGACTTGGGACCTGATCTCTTTGCCTCAAATAATACGTATATGATCTTAATTCCTTCAGTTTCGATTTGATTTGGTATGATTTAAGCTGAATGTTTCCAATCCTTATGTTAATAGTTGAAATATACTCCCTCCGTCCCAAAAACAACTTCCCACTTTCCTTAAATGGATGTCCCAAAATTAACTTCACACTTCAATACTTTCCTTATTTGGCAAATTATCTACATCAAAAAAGTGATAAACAGTGCCAAACAGTGTTTAAACAGTGCCAAACAGTGTTTAAACAGTGCCAAACAGTGTTTAAACAGTGCAAAACAGTGCACTCTACAGTAAAGTCAAATTTATTTTCTAAAAGTGTGTGAAAGTCAAACCGGGAGGTTGTTTTCGGGACGGAGGGAGTATCATCTAACAACCCAGATCTGGTTTGATCTGTTTAATGAAAATGAAGAATAAGAGGAACATAACAACAACCCAAAAACCTCCATCCGAAATGACCATAAAGACAATATACTATTTTGATATTTTGAAGGTATGTATATGATTATATTGTTACACATTTATATACAGCAGATCATAGGGGTGGGAGACGAATTCCTTTAGACTGGGAAACTCGTGTTCGAATTGCTGTGGGTGCAGCAAGAGGCATTGCCCACATTCATGAACAAAGTGGAGGGAAGTTTGTTCACGGGAACATAAAATCATCAAACATTTTCCTCAACTCTACGCATTACGGCTGCATCTCTGACATTGGATTGGCCACACTAATAACTCCCATGTCATCCCCTATGACTCAAAGTGGAGGGTATTGTCCACCAGAAGTCACAGACACTAGGAAAGCCACACAGGCATCAGATGTCTTCAGCTTCGGTGTCTTGTTGCTTGAACTTCTAACTGGGAGATCCCCTCTCCATGCCACACGTGGTGATGAATTTGTCCACATAGTAAGATGGGTGCATTCTGTGGTTCGCGAGGAATGGACTGCCGAAGTGTTTGATGTAGAGCTTTTGAGGTGTCCCAACATAGAGGAAGAGATGGTGGAGATGCTGCGAATTGGGCTAGATTGTGTCGCTAAGACTCCAGAACAGCGGCCAAGGATAGGAGATGTAGTGAAGATGGTGGAGCGTGTTCAAAGAGTGAAGTCTGGAAACCTGAGATCTACAGAACGTTTAAAATCAACCCCCCAGACACCTTCTCCCATAGCTGCATAAAATAGTACTCCGTATATACATTGGTCTCTTTCTTTTTCGTATAGAGTGTATATTTCAACAATATCGATAGGTGTACAAACTTTTTGTACACCCTTTATTCCGAGAGTTCATGTCTACTAAATCAGTACACATACAAAAACACGTCCGTGTGAAGAAAATCCCATGTCAGATACAAATCATGTTTTTGCATGTGTATGTACAAATTACACAAACTAGAACACATACTTATGTATGTGTAATATGTTCACAAACATAACTCGACTGTAAGTAGAGTACATATTTCTCAGTTGAAGTTCTTCACACGAACATGTGTTTGTGGCCTAATTTAGTAAATTGAACTATGGTGTACAATGATCATTTTTCATATTTCTAAATCTCGCACCCCTATCAAAATGTAATAAACTTTTATTTTATTGAGGGGCAGTAAAAAAAAATCCATTGATGGGTTCATTACCTAGTGTATAGTTTTTTTACTGAGGGTACTAAAATCTTATCCTGAATTCCATTCCCTAGTTTTGTACGCCTATAAACTCATTTTTTTTTATGAATATATGACTAACAAGAGTTTTTTCTTTAGAGGATAATAGACTTTTATTGGTTAGAAAAAACTAAACCCTTGAAAAAACTTTACCTTGATTTGTAAGTCAAGCAGACAAGCAGAAGATAGTTTTAGTTTCGTGATCATTCTTTTTTTAGTTTCGTGAATAGGATTATAGGAATAGTTTCAAGCAGAAGATACAAAATATCTCGAACTTGGTTTAATAAATTCATACCTCCCAGTTTTAACTTTAGATTTAAACCTCTCTCCCGTCCACATTACCAATTTGTTAAGTGTAATGATCTCACACCGATCAAATATAGGCTTGATCAGTAGCTTATAAGTTAGGTATCCCCCCTCTTAATTAGCCAGTCCTGTGAGAATGAATCTTATAAGTTAGGTATGGGCCTAGTATGGGCTAGGTCTAATACAATAGACGTATCGTTCAATTATACATTTATACAATTTTCATTATATCACTTGAACTTATAATATTAATACATTTTCATTAAAAATAGCCAAACCTCCCAAACCTATACCCCAAATCACTAAAATTAAACGATAAACTATATCATACCATTTATAGAATATAATACAAAATAAAAATATATAAAGAAATTAGAAATACGAAAATAAAAAATTTAAGTTTTTTAGAATATTTAGATTTTTACAATTAAGACAACATACAAATTTTAGAAAAGATAGAAAATTTAGAGTTTTAGAATTAAGACAACATAAAATATTAATATTAATGCATTTTCATTAAAAATAGTCAAACCTCCCAAACCTATACCCCAAATCACTAAAATTAAACGATAAACTATATCATATAATTTATAGAATATAATATAAAATAAAAATATATAAAGAAATTAGAAATACGAAAATGGAAAATTATAGATTCTAAGAATATTTAGATTTTTACAATTAAGACAACATACAAATTTTAGAAAAGATATAAATTTAGAGTTTTAGAATTAAGACAGCATAGAATATTAACTAAAATATATTTTCTTGAAAAAGCTAGAATAAAAGCTCTAAATCTTAAAAATTTTAATCACGGGTTAATTTTTGAAAACAAAGAACGCAAATGTGAATAAAAAAATAATACAAAATCATAAATTGATAACACAACTGGAAAAAAATATTGGAAAAAGGGGGAAAATAAAATTTTAATGAAAGTAATCAAACATAACTAAAAAATATTTGATTTAAATTTGGTACATTTTTAGAATTTTTGTAATTATTTTTACATGTTTAAACATATTTAGTTTGGAAATATATAAAAATACTTTTATATCTTTCAAAAATTGAGAGTTGATAGCTGAGATTAATAAATAAAGATTAACTTTGGTTTTATTTGTCCGTAAGGTAATAGTTAGGGTAAATAAGTACTACCTCCATCTCATATTAGTTGTCCACTTTCAATTTGACACGATTATTAATAAAATGGTTGAAAAGTAAAAGTTGTGGTTGAGATTTGAATAGAATAAAGTGAAATGATAAAGATCACATATTTCTTTCCATAGACAAATTCCTTGAGACGTTCCCTATTTTCCTTGAATAGAGAAGTCCATTGAGAAGTCCACGATTTGATTTTTGGCATTACCTCCATTGCATCAGAAGAGGATGTCTCGGGCACAATAGGTTTATCATCCTCTTTTGCCTCGGGCTTGTCGGTGACTTCATCTATAGGCTTATCAGAATAGGATGTCTCGGGCACAATAGGTATATCTCTTTCTATTACCGATCACAGGATTTAACTCTCGAAATAGAAAGGAGTAAATCGAGTTACAGTAATGACCACAATATTAGAGTAGAAGAAGATAGTCAGCGAGATTAGAGAAAGGAAGTTTTATTGCCAAGTTCAAATCTGTACAAATCGTAGCTATCTTTGTATTTATAGCTAAAGAGCTGATTAACAAACTAACTATAATGAACAAGTATTATAACTGCTTCTAACAAACACCGTTTAGTTGTTAATCTGTATCACTTTCCAAAGAGGTAATGGGTTCAACAAAAGGTGTATTCTCCTCTTCTTCAATCTCAATAAGAGGTACATCATTTGCTTTCATTTCCACCAACGGTTCAGCAACTGGCTTATTCCCCTCCTCTTCCACAAATTGAGTCTCTGCTAGTGGTGGAGTGGTGGCGGTCGGTGGTAATCGGCGTGAAAGAGAGGAAGATGACCGTTGGTGGCCAAATTCCTTGAGAGATTAGCTCTCAACTTTCACAACTCCAATGTACTATAGGGATGTTAACGAACCGAGTCGAGCCGGAACACTTAAAGTCCAAGTTCGGCGCGGTAAGGAATTAGTCACGTTCGGGTTCGAGCTCGAAGCTCGGGGAGCTTTACAAATGAGGGTCGTGTTCGGCTCGATAGGCGTTCGATCGAACCGAGCGCTCGATGAGCTCAATAAAGATGCTCAAATTTAAACTTTTAGGTGATGCTCGTTAATAGACTCATGCTCGAATGATTCGACAAGTATTCGTTTCGTTAATAATCATATATAAAATCATAAAATCATACTAATTATATTTAAATTTTGACATAGGCTCGAGTTCGAACCGAGCCGAATACTACTATGTTCGAGCTCAGCTCGATTGATTTTTCAAACTTAAAGTTCAGCTCGGGTTCGTGTTCGAAAGCTCGTTATGTTCGGCTCGTTAGGTTCAAAACTGAGCTCAAACTCGAATAGTTCGATTAAAGCTCGGTTCATTAACAGCCCTAAATACAACTACGCAACTACCTTCTGCCTGCAGATGGGTTTTCAATTTAAAGATAATAGTGTGGAAATGAAACAACCATTTTGTTAACTACAATTTCAATTTCACAACCTACCAAATAAAGAACAATACAAATAGAATGAAAACATTGTCATTCCCATTAATGAACTCAAAAAATACATACTCCCTCTGTCTCGAAATTAACTTCCACCATTCCTTTTGGGATGCCCAAAATTAACTTCCTACTTCACTTTCAAAGTACCCATTATATTTACCTTTACTTTTACTATTCTCTTACCTCCTTTAATTAATTTGGACTAAGGGCGGGAAAAACCGAACCGAGATCCAGAAACCGACCCTGGTGCGGCCCGAATGATATTCTCGATCCAGGTTTTTTCTATTTAACCGGCCCGAATAAAAAAACCCAGACTGAACCTGAAAATTAGGATTCATAAACGAGCCCTAAAATTTATAACCCGTCCTAGATAAAAAAAACTCAAAACAAATAGCTTTAATATTCAATCAATATAATATATGAATATAATTTATAAATAATTCCTAGTATATGATTATAATCATGGTGGGTTTTCAAAAAAAAATCATGGCGGATGAAAACATGACCTAGTAACTTTTAGTGAGTAAAAATACGTTCAATAATAAATTTAGTCACATTTTTATCCACAAGTTTGATTTGGTAATTTTTAGAGAAAACCTATTTTATTTATTTAAATGCATCTTAAACAAAATACTATGTATTAAGATAATTATCTTCTTTGGATTTGAATTGTTGATGATTTTTGAGACTAATATTTGTGTTATTATTTGCGATTTGTATTTTTGATTACTTTTTTTTTTAAAATATGTTTTAAAATATAGAAGGACAATGAGATAATTTCACGTTCGGGCTTTAACCAGCCCAACCCGTACCCGGATCAAACCCAAATTATAAAAAACTCGACTCAAAACAAATATAATGAGCTTTGTTATCATCCCTAATTTTCATAACTCGAGACCTTTTGAATAATTTCCGGGTTTAGCAAACATTCATCCACACTGACCGAACACGCGATGTGGTCACACCCCTAATTTGGACCACTACTAATTTGGTTAAAGTGTTTGTTACATAAAAGGGAGCTGTACGAGGGGCAACCACAATCTGCCGTCAACTCGGACGGACCAGATTTGAACTTTGGTCCCTTCCGTCAAGCCAAGACGTTCCTGAATTTCGTTCCACGTGCGGCTGAGGATGAATGACACGCTGGCATTCCCGCTCTTCTTCCGCATCTCCCAAGTCCCATCTCCGCAGGCTCACCTCACACTTCACCACCTCATCATCGACGGTCGTGATGAGTGCCACGTCGTCGAGTGAGCCCACCTTCTCGTCCCGGCGCGTGGCCAGCCGCCCCTCCTCCTCCGCCGTCAAGAACGCCGCCTCTCTCTTTTTTCTCACCGGGAGGGTCAGCCGGCCTTGGTTCCGGCTCAAGTCGCTCGCCGTTATCTCCTTCTCTGTCAGCAGCTTTTCCTCCGAGATACCCGCGGCGGGACCCGCCAGTCGACGGATCCCGTCGCGTAATCTCCCGGCATGCGAGGAAGATTTTTTAAGGTTGTTCTCCGCCTCCCAATCAGCCACACAGACGGCGGCGAGGAGGTCCAAATTGGAATAGCCCTCCCGCAGCTGGACGTACCCTCCACCGGGAAGCGGCGAAAATATCATCTTCCCGGCCGCCGCCATGATCGTCTCAATTGAAGCTACTATACTACACTTTAATTACTTATTATTTGTGAGGAGATCGAGAAGTAGGAGGAAATATATATAGATTTCGTAATTGATCATCTGCTTCAACGTTTTGTTAAGATTTCCTTCTAAAACTTGGTATTTGCCAGCTTCTATTTTCCGACTTATTCGCTGTTTTTCTAAATTGTTTAGTTTCCAAAAACCAAAGGAATTATACTAGGATGCGGAAACTAGTTACAAGTATTTATTACACTAGGATTTGGAATCTCCCTAGTCCCAAGTCCCAACTGATAATTATGTGTCGCCCTAGTGGTTTTTACTTGTTTACAATGTCCGAAATTAAAAGTAAAATCATTTACAACGTCCCTAATATTTTTACTTATTCCAAATTGCTTTTCAATTTCTTAATATCAATATATACTACGTACGGAGTATATATCTTTATCATATTATAT